ATAATATGGAGTTAAAAAATTGGGTTGGTAGTCAAATTTTTTTTTGTCAGTTCTATCGAATACTTTCGAGAAAATAAGATCACTATCAGGTAATGCTAGATTAATTTATAGAAAAAATTTAAATAGCAAAAAGAATAATTAGCACGATTGGGGTTTAAAAAAAAAATTAAAATTTGAAAAAAATAGGTTGGCGGGTAATGCAAAATGAAAAATCAACTTTGCATGGCCTAATGTAAAATAAAATACTTGATAATACTTATAAGGTAAATAAAATTATGCCACTAGGGCTAACAAAATATTAAGATTATTAGTGTATAAATAGCCATAATAATGTAGTTGATTGTAATATGGAATGTAATATGAATAAAAAATTTTTTATCAAAGTTTATTTTCCGATTTTTAAAATTCTATTTCTACTTAAGTTGTTTTGAAATTTGAAAGTGGATTCATAATCCAAGAATTCTGAATCTACTTACAATATTTATATATTAAATATACTTACTATGACTTTATCTTTTATTTCTAGATTTTCTATAAGCTCAAGTATTTTTCACCAAGATATATGCCAGTATGAGATTCGTGTAAGGATATAAAATTAAAAAGAAGAATTTTCATTGTCCACTCTGTATCAACCCAGTAGATGGTAATACCAAGACATTATTGCCTATTACATGCTATCTAGACATCAATAGTAAGTACTAGTTTACTAAAGCTTGATTTTAATACATTTTTTATTTCAGTTTTCATAGATTCAAATTTGTTTTTAATGGTTATGGAGATGGTCTGACAACATAGAAGTTTGTATAAAGGATTAAGATTTAAAACAAACTTAACAAAAGAATCTTCATTAACTATTAAAAAGACAATTGGCTCCTAATAATTAATTAATATAGATTATGGTTTAAAGAATTTATATGATCTCTGCTGATTTTATTAGTCATTGAATATGAAAGATGAGAAGTTTTGGTACTTTTTACTAAAAATCTTTGTAGACATCTGGATGCTTATTTTCAAAATAGCGTGTAATTGTTGATAATAATATATACAAGCCCCATTTACCAATTTTGTTTTTCTCAATATCTGGATTATCAGAATAGACTTTGCAAATACGGATACTACTATCATTAACATCAAGATAGTTATGAACAGGTGATGTTCTTTTGTTTAATTTTTTTTGTTTTTAAGTTTATTAACAATATCATTTTCAGAATAATTTTCAAGAATATTTTCATTTTGAGGATCAAGAATTGAAGAGTTAGAATTAGGAGTTGAAGAAAGAGGATTAAGAATTGAAGAATCAGGATCAAGAATTGAAGAACCGGAATTAAGAATCGAAGAATCAGGATTAAAGATCAAAGAATAGAATCAAGAAGTAGAGAATTGGGATTAAGAAGTAAAGAATTGGGATCAAGAAGTGGAAATCAGGATCAAGAAGTGGAGAAATGAGATCAAAAGTTGCAAGAATAAAATTGGAAATTGATGAAGTAGGCAAGTTAGAATAAGACATTAGTAAATATTTAGAATGCAATTTGTTATTTAAGAATTATTTATTGACTTATTTATTATTATTTTTTATTTTTTTTAAAAGTCAACAAAAAAAATCTAAGATTTTTATTAACAATTTAAGTTATTGTTGCTTAAACATTTAATATACAAATTAATATAATTATGTGATATTTTATTAAAAGGAGTTTCTTTAATATGTTTGTAACTATTTAAGAGGCTCCAGTGAGGACTTATTTTATTAAATGAAACAAACAAAACAAATGTAGCACAAATTAATATAATCATAAAATTTTTTTAATTATTAAAAGGAGTCTTTTGTTATGTCTATAACTATTTAATAAATTTTGACAATAGTTATTTATTCAATTATTATTTGACTGTTTAAATTAATATATGATATATACAGTATTAACATTTAAGAGAATATTAGTTAACTCCTAATACATGTAATATTAATGTTAAGAGCATTTCTGATATTCATTATAAGATTGATTAGTTTATTGTTATAAATAAGCGAAGTACAGGCAGCCTTTAATATATTTTATAAATCATTTGTTCATATAATTTTTTTTTTTTTTTGCAAGAGAAGTGATAAAACAATAATCACATTTTAACAGATTTTAGATTACAAAACAAAAAGTAGAATTAAGATTTTAAACAAATTTTATTAAATTTTAAAATATTTTCATTAATTAACATAATATAATATACATTCTATCAATAATTTGCAAAAGTATATATATTCTAAATTAATCAAAAAAATTTTTTGATTAAAATCTACTTTGAAAAAACAAAATGCTACCTTTGCCTTTGATAATAATGAACTAGGTCAACTCTTACCAGTTTAACTACCTAGGATATAGTAGTTTATTCACAATCTAGTAATATGTAGTGGTATTCTTTTCTTCTAAATAAAATTCTCTGGGTTTTTGATTTGCATATAGTAAATATTTCATTTTTGTAAAATAACAAAAAAAAATAAATTTTAGTAAAATATTTCAATAAGTTACTCAGAATATTTGATCTAATTGGTCTCGATGTAAATTAGCCAATTATATACATGCCCTAATTATGCATTGGAACAAAAAATATGCATTTGGGTAGGGTCTGATTCAATGAATAATATATTCAAATATTTATTGAATATTCGAATATTCAAATAAGTAATTTTCACCAAATTGAATATTTAAATATTTAATTTTTTCACTAAATATTCAATGAATATTTAATGAATATACAGTCATCCTCCCATATAATCACTCAATTTATCTAGCACTTTTTGGTGATCATGTAGAGAGGTGATTAAATAGAATTAATAAAATTACCTCTATATAATCACATAATATAGAATAATTAAAATAATGTGATTTTAAA